GCCGACGGACCAGTCAATGACCCTCTGATGCAAATTGCACACAAAAAACGCAAGTGCTCTGGCAGAGCTTTAATCTGATTGGCTGTTCTTACTCATTCAAGTAGCATCCAGTTATCATACACTTATTTAGCATATTTATGAGTAATAATGACTCAACTTTTGCCAATTTGAACAAATAATAAGAAAACTTTTACCATACTGGATATGGAAGGTCAACCCAAGTGCACTGCATTGTGGGATACAGTATTCCTCACAGTGTGTTCTGTTCTATACTGCACATTTTGGCAAATTCGTCCAGAAAGTCTGCATAATGTGCACAAAACCCATACTACATACTTCCAAAATAGTAGCATGCAAGTATGTGGATCTGGTCATTAAAAACACCCTTTGGCTGTAGTATTTGACACCACCCACCGGTTGTGCTGGTGAAGACGTCAGTGGGCACAGGGCTGTCAGAGATGATGGCTGCCGTCTCTCCTGTCGCCGTTCGGTCAAAGGTCAGCGTGCCTGATGTGGTGATCTGTCCGGATGGAGTCATTGTAACTGAGAGCAGACAGACAGTCGTGAGCCGTTTCCAGTGTCTCCTGAGAGAATTACTCACTTTGCTGATACTTATGAGAGACGTCACACGGTTTGATATCAGAAAACTCACAACAGAATCCCACCTGAGAGTCATAACCACCGATACAAAAAAAAAAAAAAGTTATATATGTATATATGTATATATATGTATCTCTTTGGATACTGGAATAATAATATTATTATATAGTATTTATACAAAAATGTAAATAATGCACATCTGTATATTTATATTATTAAGTTCCACTTAAAAGGGTTTACTATTTAGATGCAACTATAAAAAATGCATTTTATTTCATATTTCATATATTTTTTATTCCTTTTTAACATAATATTAATATTTATTTATATTGCTTGATTAAAATAAATCAAATAATACAATGAAAATAAATTATTAAAAAATACAAAATAAATCAAATAATAAATTAATTATATAAAAATTATAAATTCATTATTGTATGTATCGGTAAATTATTAAAAAATACAAAATAAATCAAATAATAATAAATAAATTATATAAAAATTCTAAATTCATTATTTTATGTATCTGTCTGAAATACAATATGCAATTAATGACATTTCCTAAACAAACAACAAAAAACTAAGATGCAGAAAATTATGCACTTTGTTTTTTGATTTTATTAATTTTGTTTTTTATTATTTATGTTAAGTAATTTATTAATTTGTGTATTACATATTATGTATTTTATTTTAGCCAGAAGCAGAAAATAATGACTTTTTTTTGTGGATTTTATTGTTTTATTTTATTATTATTTTATTTATTTAGTATTTTTAAATAATTAATTTTATTGTATTATTTTAATTAATTATAATTATTATATATGTATATATATTTATATTAGGGATGCACCGATATGAAAATTTTGGCCGATACCGATAACCGATTATTCTTTATTTTTGAAAGCCGATAACCGATATGTTGGCCGATAAATCTATATCCAAATTGTTATATACTTTTTGAGAGCCTGATTACAAAAAAGGTCTCATCATTAAAAGCCACATCCCAAACACTTACACATAAGCAGCCTAGTTTGAACGGTGTACGTTTAAAAAATATTTGTACTCTCCCATTACCAAATTTAGTCATAAAAAAGTCTTACAAATAAAATAATGCATAAATAATGCAAACAAGTCACTGGACATCATTACACGTGTAAAGAATCAAAATGAATGCGCCATAGATCAATAAAACAGAATAGCCTCTGCACGGACAATAATT